CTGAACTCAAGGACCATTCCTGATGGGGCTTGGGGGACTAAATGGGGGGTTTGGGATTGAGCCCAGTTTGGTTGTGTTCAAGGCAAGCATCCTACTTGCTGTATTATCTCATTAGTCCCTTAACTGAGAGGCTGGAGAGATAGTTATGGTTAATATTTTAAAAATAAAGATATAGGGGCTAGAGCAATAGCACAGCTGGTAGGGCAGTTGCCTTGCACGCGGCCAACCCGGGTTCGATTTCCTGCATCCCATATGGTCCCCTGAGCACCGCCAGGAGTAATTCTTGAGTGCAGAGCCAGGAGTAACCCCTTTTTGGGTGTGACCCAAAAAGCAAATAATAATAATAATAATAATAAATAAAATAAAAATAAAGGGATAGCTTCCATGGGATTCTAAGTATTTTACATGTTGGGAAGAATGGCATAATTCACTTTTATAAAAACATTCTGCCTTTGCTCTCTGGGTATTGTGTGTGTGTGTGTGTGATGTGTATATGTGTGTGTGTCAGATGTGTATATGTGTGTGTGTCAATTGTGAAGGTCCTCTTGATATTCCAATACTAGTAAACATTCTGTTTTTCTTTTTGTTACTTGTGGGGACCAACCCAAGTATTACTTGGGGAATCAGGATCACTTTTGGCAGTGCTGGATTGAGCACATGTGGTGCCTGGAATCAATCTCAGTGCATTAAAAGGCATGTGCCCACAACACCCAAAAGGAGAGAGAGAACAGAGGGGAATGTCTTGTCACAGAGGCGGGGTGGGATGGGGGGTGGGTGGGAGGGATACTGGGTGGGGTAGGGGGGATGGGGGGTGGGAGGGATACTGGGATCCATGGTGGTGGAAAATGGGCCCTGGTGGAGGGATGGGTATATGATCATTGTATAATTGAAACCCAAGCACAAAATTTGTAAATCTACAACTGTACCTCATGGTGTCTCACTAATAAAAATTAAAAAAAAGATGAAAATGAAAAAATTAATAAATAAAAGACATGTGCTCCATTACTTGAGCCACATCCTTATCCCTAAAGATCTATCCCTCCTTCCCAGCCCCATTATTTTCTTCTTCTTGCTTATCATTTACTTTTAAGAATACAACAAAAATATATGTGATGCCCCGGCACCCGAAGCAAGGTGGGTCAGCGCAGTGCCTGCCCAAACAGAACCAACAGCTTCCACACTCCATCATCGATGACGTTATCTCCAGCCAGACTCCACTGCCTTGAGCTGAGCTTCATTCAGAAATTAAAGTAAGTAAGTAAAGGCCCTCCCGTTGATCATCGATTTGCTCGAGTGGGCCCAGTAACGTCTCCATTGGAGACTTTAATCTAAAAAATTCAGGAGATCTGAGTATAAAATAAAATTTAATGTAACATACTTTATATTCGAGTTGGAAACATATATGCAAATAAGAATTGGCATTTTATATTGTATTAAATGATTTTGATTTTCTTATTTACATAGGTCAAAATCAGATAGTACTCATTAATTGGCTCTTATTTATTTTCTGATCATTCTATTTGCCAGCTCTTAAAGTTTTGTTGGAATAAGCAAATAAAGTAAATTTCTTATGTGCCAAAGGGGGCAGATTGGAATTGAGCAGAAAACTGGGGATATTGGTGGAGGGAAGGTCACGCTGGTGGTGTTGCAACACTAAATGCTTGATACAACTATATACATCACAGCTTTGTAAATCAGTGTTTTTAATAAAAAATTTTTTTAAAAAGCATATGTACATACATATATACACAGCTATTTCCTGCTTTAATATAACTGTACCCTACAATACTATTCTTAGAATAAAAATTTGAGCTTATCTTCCACCACACCTCAAAATGATGTTCTTCCTTCCCCTCTCCTTTCCCTTCCCCTCTTCCTTCCAGCAAATATTTTAGACAGCCTAATTAAATTTCAACTGCAGAAGAGCCAGTGGTAAGAAAGCCAACAAACCTATTACAAATATCTTCCAGGAACAAATTGACCAAACACTATTTTATCTAAATACAAAGTATTAGGAAATAAATGCTTGTTTTCCTCAAGTGAGGTTCTTTTTCCCAGAGTTCTGACAAAGGAGCAGATGCTGCCTTTTGGACAGCAAGGTCGGCATGTCTCTCTGGGAACGCTGCCCAAATCTTACCTGTTTTCAAGATGTCGGAAAGAATCATTCCAATGTACATGGCACACGTTCTCTATCCCAGAGGAAACCAGGTCCAATGCTAGAGTTCCAGCACTACGAGGCCAGTCCTCTGGGGCTGAGATGGAGCCACAGGAGGATTCATGTCTTTCCCCAGCAGGTAAACACTCTCTGGCACTTGCCAGGAAGTCTTGCATGTACGGCTCTATTTGAGGATTTGTGAAAACCCCCAGCGCTTCTTGTGAAATTGTCCAGTCTCCTTTTCTTTGCTGCGGTTCTTCCCAGTTTGTGGGTTTCTTTGCCACAACCAAGGTGGAATCATCTAGGCTCTGAGTACAGACACCAATACCTGAAGATGAGGGTGTCTCTGCTCCCCAAGGATGATCTCTACTTCTCCCCGCACCTCCAGGTACCAAGTGGCCTCAGAGAGGAGTGATGGGCTCAGTGAGCCCCAGGTGAAGAGACATCACCACCACAAGGAAATGTCTGAGTCTGGCCAAGTTGTTGTTTTTCAGTGGCTTCTATTTGATTTTTTTTTTAAAGTGAAAAGAGTGGGTCAGAGTGATAGTACAGAAGGTAGGATGTTTGCCTGGCATGCAGCCAACCTGGGATTGATCCCTGGCATCCCATATGGTCCTACTGTACAGTGCCAGGAGTAATTCTTGAGTGCAGAGCCAGAAGTAACCTGAGCATTGCTGGGTGTGACCCAAAAAGCCAGAAAAAAAAAAACCCAAACAAACAAAAAACTGCAAACACACAGAACCAAAAAAATCAATAAAAGTGAAAAGAACTCGTTAAGACAGATATTGGCTCTCCTAGAAAAACAGGAAGTACTCACTGCCTCATTATTAAAGACAGGGAAAAAAAAAGTCATCATTTGTTGCTCAGGTCCCTTAACATTTAGAACTTTCTGGTTAGTGTATTCAGTTCCTGCTACCAACTTTGGCACTTTGTGAAGTTGAGAGGTTGCTGGGAAGGAAGGAGCCATATAGCACTTTCCGCCTGCCCTGCTCTAACTCAGGAAAATCTCTTGTAATGGCATATCCACCTCTTGGATGGAAAAATCTGTTATGTGGAATGTCTCTGATATCATATTAATAGCTATGCTTTCATTTTCCTTCTGTGGATCTGCTGTGGAGTTTTCCAAACAGTTCCAGCAGGCCGCATTTTCTAAGAATGACCTCTAGTTAACCCCAGTCCTTAAATTTTGCTTCATAGAAGGTACTTCAGAGCAACTGAGCAACGCTACACTCTCTCTCTAGTTTGAAGATACTTTGTTTTAAAAAGTATCTTTGTTTAAAATAGGTTGTTATGATTTCTCAGAACTTTCTGAATGATGAAGTAGAAACCACAAAATCCTTCTCAAGCATATTAGCAAATTATCCAACCTTGTGGAATATGAAGATAGAAAACAAAATTATTTTGGAAATATCTAGAATGTGCTAATATTTGCCCAGTAATAAAATAATTGTACATACTAATCAGACCTTTGGAATTTCAGTTTGTCAATTTTCCATGGTAGTGATATAAAAACAATGCCACAAAATCTTGGTAAGCAGGAAAATGTTCTCCTTCACCACACACACACACACACACACAAACACACACACAGAAAAATCTCTGAGGCATGGGTACATAGCTCAGCTTAGAGCACTTAGAGCTCTTGCTTTGCTTATGTGAGGTCCGGCATTTGCTCCCAGTATTGGAAAGAAAAATAAAAAGAAGAAACAGAAAATTCCTTGATTTCACCTTTTAAATAATGCTAGCCCTTCCCGCTACACACACACACACACACACACACACACACACACACACACACACACACACTTGGAAACCCTTTCTAAATGTAAAGGTTATTTCAACAGGAAAACTTTTCTCTTTCTCTGATTTCACATGACACCAGGCATCTTAGAACCACAGAATCAGATCTGTAGGGGCCTCAGTGCAGCCCATTCAGACCTCTCATTCCTACTGGGCAGGGAGGGAGTCCCTGAAGCTCTCCGGGTCCTGCAGCTGATGGAGCAGAGACCTGAACAGACAGCTGGGTCCACACTGCCCTTTCCCTGCAGCATCTTCACTGCAGCGATGAAGACACTGGGAAACCTAGATACTGACTCCAGGACAAGAAAGGTTCTTCTGTCTTTTTCCTACAAGTGGAACACAGCAAACTCCAGTTCAAGATAATACCTGACCAATTACAATGTTAAAGTACGCCTAGCCTTGCTCTAACCATCTTCTGAGTTAACTAGACAACAATCCTGTATTTCTGGAGTGTGGGTACTCTACCCTTGGTGTTCTAAAGGTATCTGTCCTTTGGAAATCATCACACAATGGCTAAATTCATCAGGTGATATCTTACCACTTGGCATAGGCCAGATATCATTACTATTCCATGACTTAAACAAATAAACAAAAAAATTTCAAATGTAAAAGGCTCTCTTTTTAATTACTAAATTAAGAAAGTTAAACAATTTAAAAATGTAAACTCACAAATCATAACAAAAAAAGAATTAAGACTTCAGAGTTTCTACTTGGTATTAAAAACTTAATAGAAATAGGATTTTTGATTTGTTGTCAAACATATGTAGTTCAAGGTTGGTACAAACATCAACTAAAAATGTCAATTTTTTCTCGTTTTTTTTTTGTGCATCCCCATGAAATGTAAAGTAGTGCATAGTTATTCCACTGGAGAACTTCTGGACAAATAGAAAGTCATTTCATTAACAGTACAGGACATTTAAAACACTTATTTTACAATGGGGAATGTACAACCCCTCCCAGCCCCCTCCCCCATAAGTTTTTAGTTGCATGAGAAAGTTTAGCAGGTTGCCATGACTACAATGCTATGGGCTTTAGACCAGGTAAGTGTGGTTACAAGGTTTATTAAATTAAAAAAGTTTGAAACATTTCAGCATTCATATTTTTATACAAGAAGTTTGTGTGGCATCGTCTTCCAGGTCCCCTGGGAGCACTGGCCGCTGGCTCGCTTAAATCTGTTCACTTTTAAGTCTCAAGTACAGATTGCAGGTGAAGCAAATACTGGAAACACAATTGATGAATTCAGCTGGGGGTGCTGAATGAGGCAGAGTGAACAGTCATCTACAGGTACAGTCAAGAAACCAAAAAAAGTGCACTCCAAATTTAAAAAAAAGTGAGAGAGAGAGAATCATGCTTTGCAAAAGCCAAAAATGAGGCCACTGGTTTTCAGAATACCACCAGTGTATTTCTGCTGATTTTGCTGTCAACTCCTTACTTCTGGGTCCTGAAGCTTGTGGTCCACTCTAGCCAAGGTCTCCATGTTAGCACCCACATGGTGTATGTACAGGGATGGATATATTATATATATTCAGATCATAAAAAAAGGAAAAAAAAACCCAAACACCTGTCCTGATTGGTTTTTGTTAAAACATGAAAAAAAATTTTATTATTTTAGACAAAGAGGCCACTTTTGGAAAATAATACTTTTTTTTTTAGTTGAATCAGGTGAAGACAGAGTTAAAATCACATAGGATTTTGTATTTTTAAAAAAGGAAAGCACTAGGATCGTTGGCACTGGAGTAACTATTTACACGGAACAGAGATTGGCCTTTTACATAACATCGATACAATGCATTTTCCAAAGTCTGAGAAATAACAAAGATTCTGTCTCGTAGGCTTCACAGCGGAGGTTCGGATATGGGGACAAGAGTCAGTAATGAGGGCCGTGGAAGTTCGTCAGCTTCAGAGTCACATGCAATCTCCTCTCCTGCACGGATCAGGCTGCCGGCAGCAGCTGGCTACGGAACTGAAAGCTAATGGGAAGGGGTGGGGAAGCCTCACGCAAGGCCTCTCTCTCCAGACCTGGCCCTTACAGGTTTTCCCCAGGCTGATACTGGGGCTCTGTGGCCGTGAAGTAGTCTTCCAGGAAGCCCTGCAAGTACTCGAACGTGGGCCGTTCCTCGGGGTCCTTTTTCCAGCAGTGGATCATGAGCTCGTGGAGAGAGATGGGGCAGTCCTGCGGGCAGGGCATCCGGTAGCCGCGCTCCACCTGCTCCAGCACCTCCCGGTTGTTCATGCCTGCAGAGACAAGCAGTGAGAGAACAATCTCCCTTGAGCGGTGAAATCCCCAGGGTGCACCTTGCCCAAGACCTGAACCTGGTCTTGCATGGGAGGCTGCACCACTTTGAGGAAGGAGACCGGGGGAGGGGGGGGAGGGCAGGCACAACTGATCTGAGTGAAAACCCCATGATGAGTCTTAAAAGCATTGTCTGTGAAAGCAGCCAGACGCGAAAGGCAGCACACTCTGTGATTTCATTTCTGTGAAATTCATTAAAAAAAAAAAAAGACAGAGCTGCTGTGACAGAAAGCAGAGCAGTGGCTGCCAGGGGCCGGGTGGGGTTGCAGGGAACAGAGGGGTGGTGGTCAGGCTTGGGATCAGGGGACAGCATGCAGTTTCTGCAAAAGAAGCGAGGAAATACGTTAGGTTTCTCTGGCTCCATCTATCTCCCTCACCTAGTCTTTATTTATTTACTTTGAAAGCCCCTTTAAAAATGCACAACACACACACACAAACCCGGGTAGGGGTGGATTTGTTCCCCCCTCTCTTGGGGCGGGGGTGGTGGTAGTGGTCTATATCCTGTTCTGATGGTTCATGTTTGCTAACACTCAGTGCAATCCTCCAAATATTAGTGACCGCTATTGTATGTACATGGCACTTCAACTGAGCTGACAAAAGTTATGAATGAAGTAGACAAAACCCATGCAACCAACCAAAACCCCCCATGGAGAGCTGGAGAGAGCGCTCGATGGGCTGAGCACAGACAGGCTCTGCATGACTCAGGTTTGAGCCCTGGCACTGCACGGTCCCCTGAGCATCGCCTGGAGAACCCCCAGCAAGCAATCTGGAGCAGCTGCTGGGCACTTCTGTGTGCGGCACAAATACCAACCAATCAGCCCAAACCCTCATAGAAGGAAACGACACTCGCTTGTTTACAGCCTCTATAAGCTGTTCATGAACTTCATAAATTGGTTTCCTCATGCCTGGGCAAGCTCTTGGGGTCCCACAATCTGAGGTTGGCAGCAGCTGCCATGACCAGAACCCCAAACCCCACAGCAGCTTGTGATGTGGTGACTTTGATGGGGGAGGCATCGTCTCTTCAGTAAGGGTTTATGCTTCCTGATGACCTTGGTTAGGTTTGCTGAGACCTCTGTGACTCAGGGGAGCTGCTAAGGGGTGGGATATCAGGCGTCAGGAGACATCGGGGCGTCCTTTGGAGGATCCCTGCATGCTGGCATCCTTCACAGAACAGGAAATCCCACATTGAGGCGGAGGCCATGCCTCGACCCCTCTCTCCATCACTGTCAGGCACCATTCTTTACTGTTCCTTCCTCCTCCCACCCCCCCAGCCGCACCCACTGCCCATCACAGTCTGCCATCTCCTGCTAAACCCTTATCAGTCTTGGCTGCTTATATGCCTCTCGTGTATAATCTGGACTCCATCCCAATTTCTGATTCGGTGGGTCGACGAAGGCAACAGGATTTCAAGCCATAGAGAAACCTAGATTTCTACCCCATTTCTCTTGCCCTATTGCTGGCAGTGGAAGAATACAGCATCTACTGTAACTAAAGACACAGGCCAGCTAGAACTCTGCCAGTCTGGACAAAGGAAATAGGCCCAGGTTCAATCTTGTTCTGGGGAACACACCCAGACTTCTACCATCTGTTACAATTCTCTTTCTCTCTTTCTTCCTTCCTTCCTTCCTTCCTTCCTTCCTTCCTTCCTTCCTTCCTTCCTTCCTTCCTTCCTTTCTTTCTTTTGGTTTTATTATGACTTTGGGAGTCTTATTAATTATGTTTTTAAAAAATTATTGAAGTAACACTGGAGCTGGCTTCATATTGGTCCTGTTAATCACAGCCTCATGCTTGTCCAAACCCTTTTATCCTGCATTCTACTCTGCAGCTGGAATTTCGGGCAGCGATAAATCTATCATACCTTCCACTGCTGTAGAAGTGGCCCTTATATTTAATTATGTGACGATAACCTTGCTCACATTTCAGGGGTGACCCTTATATTAGTGAGCTGTGGGTTGTTCTGGGCCCCTGCCACCGTGCCATACCTGACATTATGCGTGACCTCTCTGCAGCTTGCCAGCTCTGTGGAGAATTAGCTGAAATCCTCATCCAATGGCAGAAAACTCAATCCCACCCACAATTCCCTTTTGTGGTTGTTGTGAAGACCAGGGGGCATACATTTCCTTATGGTGCTTGAACAATTTTTAGCTGTGATGCTCAGGCATGGTACCATGGTACTGGGACTGCACATTAGATCTTGCTGCGTCTGGAGGTGGGTGTGGAGGGCAGTGCTAGGGAGTGAACCTTATGCTACAAGGCAAGTGCTCAGCCAGTGAGCCACACTCGCAGGCCCCTGACAAACACATTTTGAATACTCAGATGGGGTGGCAGCAGGGGGGCAGCCTCTCCTAGGTACGCCAACTTCACTGGCCAAGTGCCCCAGTCCTTACATGTGCGCAGGGCCTGGCAACTGGAATGAACTTGTCCTAGCATCCCTGGAGCTGCCAGGGGGCATGGCCTCCGTAGTAGTGGACGTGGCCTCTGCAGTAGGTAGGCATGGCCTCTGGGGTGGCAGCCCATTTTCCCCTCTCTCAGCACTGTGGACTCACATCTCAAGCCTCATTACCTAATTCTGTGGAGAACTCCCTGGCTATCTCAAACACAATAGGCCACTAACCTATTCCAATTGCACCAAAATATTGGTGAACACAAGTCTATTCCAATTTTACCAAAATACTGATGAACACAAGAAGCTGTACAAGTCCAATATAACAGAACACATCCCCCTGGAAGCAGGGGGCAACTAGAATTTCCAGGGGAATGTTCTGAGGGACTTTGGGGCAAAGGAGGGAGACCAGCATTTCCTTACCCTGCCCCCCAACCCAACTAGCCTTGGAAGGAAAAGTTTTGGTAACTCACTTGGCAACAGAAACAGCTCTGTATGGATCTCACTTAGCCAATAAAACCAAAGTTGGTGGGAGGCCACTTACTGGTTTTATTTACTCATATGTATCCCTGCAGAGGTAAAAATGCACTGGAATAGAGTGCTGGCCCGAACTCTCTGGGGCTGTTGTGTAAAGGATGGTCAATGCACTTTAGCATTGACTTTCTAAATGATGATGATGATGATGATGATGATAATAATAATAATAATAATAATAAAGTCTGCTTCTGAAGCGTGTCTATTCTGCCAGATCTGGCAGGAGCCATGACACCCCGTTCCAGCGTGCCTGGAGTGCTCAGGAAAAGAGAGCAGAGTGTGGCTCTGCTGCTTACTTCATCTGATTTATTTTGGGCCACACCTGTTCAAGGAGACTGGGTAGAAAGAGAAAAGACAGAACTCCATTTAAAAAGTTCTATGGTTTGGCTGGGGAGGTAGTATAGGTGGTAAGCACATACAAGGTGCTTGCCTTGTATGTGACTCAGTCCGGTTTGATACCAGCAATGTATGTGGTCCCTGTGCATTGGAACACAGACCCCAGAATAGGCCCTGGGCATTACTGGGTGTGCCCCTCCCAACACCTATCCCCAAATTTTATTGTTGTGGGGGCCATACCCGAGAATCCTGGGATGGGGATATGTAATGTCAGATGTTGAACCCAGGGCCTCACACATAAAGACATGTGCTCTCCAGCTGAGCCACATCCACAGCCCAAAGGACAGGGAATTTCAAACTCAGTGTATGGTGTCTGGGATATAGACCAGAGGCTCAGAGCACCTGACTGCTAGGGTAAGGTCTTGAGTTCAATCCCTGATGTTGCCTCATGTGCCTATCATGATCCTGGCAGCTCTGGTGATGCAAGGAATTTCTGCCTGTGCCATAACCAGGTATGTGTTAAGTGCCACCACTAAAGGGGTGAGCACTACCACTAAAATATGTGGGAATACCATAGCAAACACTGGTGAGCATTGTAACCAAATTGTTCATGAGCATCACATAGAAGAGTCCAGTCCCCGGCGAGCATGCACAGGACCAAAGACACACAAATACACTGTGGGCATCATGGCTGTGTGAGAATACTACAGCCAGGTGTGTGTGTGTGTGTGTGTGTGTGTGTGTGTGTGTGTGTGTTTGTTTGTGTGACCCTGGGTTACTATAATATCAACAACCATGAAAGGATGGGGGAGAAGGGACTGTCAAAATAAATAACCAAAGGTAAGCACACACAGTGGACGGGTGGCATGGCCATCATGAGCTTGAGCTCAGGGGTCACTAGTGCATGGACGCCCAGAGGGGTGATCTCCACCGTCCAGTGGGAAATGTCATGTTCACAAAGCTAGTCCTGGTTCCGATCTCCACCCCAGAGAGGACCTTGGGGCCAGGCGGCTCATGTGGATGGGCCTGTGGTCCTGATTTGTATCAAGGTTGTCTCTCGCTGTCCCCTGTACAGCATCAGTGACCCTCTTGGATACTCTTCCAAGGACACTCTTCCTGCCAAACTTCAGTGGTACTCAGCTTCCAGAAAAACCTGCATAACCTGCTGGGGAGGTGGGGGGCACTGGTGCTCCAAACCCTCTTTCCCAGATTGCTGTGTGCCTCCTTCACCCCAGACCATGGGCTTGCAGATACGGCCATGGCAGCATCGCTTCAATTCATCCATCCCCCATCACTGCGGCTGAGATGTTCCAGGCCAGCCGACTGGGGGCCTTCCTGCCATTTGACTGCATTGTCCTATCTGCAGCATTTTGCACAGGCTTCCTCTCAGCTTCCCAATCAAGGTTAAGTTTCCTGCTCTCACTTTCCAGCCTCTTCTGTGCACAGCTGCCAGAACTTCTACTACTACTTCTAGTGCATTTTCTTCTCTTTGTTCTATGCTGTTTTCTCCTCTTCTCTCTTGCGCGCCTCCCTCTCTCTCCCTCCCTCCCTCCCTCCCTCCCTCCCTCCCTCCCTCCCTCCCTCCCTCCCTCCCTCCCTCCCTCCCATCTATATCTTGGGCCACATCTGGCAATGCTCAGGGCTTACTTCTGACTCTGCTCTCATGGGCCACCTGCAAGGTAAGGTGGA